GAGTGTGGGATCTATGTAGTCATGTTTACCAGTTGGTAATTTAGGACTGTACCATGAGATCCTGGCAGGAAGAGTGGACTTAAGATGCAGGTGGTACTGAGTTCAAGGGAAAAGATGAAACTCTTCAAGGATAATATAGGGGCCTGTGTGAAAAATCCTCACACAAATTTAAGACACGTATACTTCAACAAACTCAAAATTAGAGCTCAACTTTATTTTCAAAGTGGAAACCACTATAAGCATCTAAGGAGCTTGAGTTCCACAGAGTAACTCTGAACTCATCAGGATTCCCCAAGTCTATGTGTCATTGTCTAATGGTGCTTTTATCTCTGGGGTCCAGCACTTCCTAACCACCTGACCACAAATCTGAGCTTCAGCTTCACCAGCTGTAAAATGCCCTGCTGCAACTGTTTATAGTTTTGCAGATCAAATGTATGTGAAAGTGCTGTACAAATAGGAATAATTATTAATACACTGCCTGGTGGAGTAGAAATAAAGAAATCTCTCTTAGCTAATGGGGTTAGGAAAGCAGCAGCTTCAGCCAAGGATCTCTGTGCTTTCCACACTGCTTATCACAGTGTTTGCGCTGTTGCAGCATCAAAAACAGAACAAATACTGTAACCATGGACTACGGTTTTTGCTTTATCTTAGAACCCTGGGCACTAAAATGGGAGGACAATTTGATGGAACACTAAGTTATTCCTTTTTACATTATAATTCTTTTCTCAAGCCAATGTCTCAGGTTTCTGTGGATACCTGTGGCCACTGCTTACTTTTGTTGGCTGTGTTAATACAAACTACCAAAGTTCTGAGATGAGTACCAATGATTAGACCAGAGCCAAACTCCACAGCATAAGGGAAGGATTCTTTGTGTTCAGATGGGTCAATAATCAGGGAATAGTGAGTGCTTTCAAGGTCTGATCCAAGAAACCTAATATCCCAGGAGCAACTGTAGAGTCCTACCATTCCTCTGGCTCACAATAAAGGGCCCTCTAATCATCCATTCTTACACCTGCCCCAGAAGGAACCTATATTTTCCAAAATTCTTTTAAGCTAAGGCAGGGTTCCATGGAGCTCCCCCTTTACCCGTTTAGATATGCAGGACCAGAATACTCCCAAACTGCAGTGGGACACCCTGCTGACCACATGCCCAAGGCAACCTCCAACTAGCTGAGGCCGTTCAAGGGTAGGCAAGCTTAGGTGGTACCTGTGGCTCAAAGGGGTAGGGTGCTGGCCCCATATGCCAGAGGTGGCGGGTTCAAACCCAGCCCTGGCCAAAAAACCCCACAAAACCAAAGGGTAGGCAAGCTTTGCTTCCAGAGGTGGGTTCCCTGGAGTTCTTGCCTCTCTTTTCAAAGTCTGTTTTTATGTTATTTCACAGAGAAAAGCATTGCCTGAGGTCACACAATGACATTAAAGTCTGTAGACTCAGAATCCATCCTAAACCATATAGTCCAGGATAAAGAATCCAGAATTCAGAATTACAAGAGTTCATTTCAACCCCCCAATTCCCCTGATAAAATGGTAGTCTTTGTGTCATAACTTTTTACAGCTGTTTTTCTCTGTACAGCAACTCTCTGAAGGGCTCCAGAGGATTAAATGAGATTATGTACCTAAAACCACTTTATTATTTTTTTTTAGAGACAGAGTCTCACTTTCTTGCCCTTGGTAGAGTGCTGTGACATTACAGCTCACAGCAACCTCCAACTCCTGGGCTTAAGGTGATTCTCTTGCCTCAGCCTCCCGAGTAGCTGGGACTACAGGCGCCTGCCACAATGTGCGGCTCTTTGTTGAAGTTTGGCCGGGGCTGGGTTTGAATCCACCACCCTTGGTATATGAGCCCAGCGCCCTACTCACTGAGCCACAGGTGCCACCCCTAAAAGCACTTTAGACATTGTTATAGTACAATTTATTTTCTTTCTTTCTTTCTTTTTTTTTTTTTTTTGAGTCAACTCTGTTGCCCTGGGTAGAGTGCCATGGCATCATAGTTCAAAGCAACCTTAAACTTCTGGTCTCAAGCAATCCTCTTGCCTCAGCCTCCCAAGTACCTGGAACTACAGATGTCAGCCACCACACCCAGCTAGTTTTTCTATTTTTAGAAAGTGGGGTCTCACTCTTACTCAGGCTGGTCTCCAACTCCTGAGCTTGAGTGATCCACCCGCTTGGGCCTCCCACAGTGCTTGACTGTTTTTATTATTGCCACCAGCTACAGAGGCCTGTAATTCTGTCTGGATAGAGAGAGACCTTAGCTATCAGCTGGAACAATTTCCAAATGAGGATCCCAATGTCTAGCGTGTGTGCCTCCTGGAACCAAAGGCTGATTAAATTATTTTCCAGCCACCAGCTGACATAATTCTAATAATGTGTTTATGAGAGCTTTGGAACACTGGTTAACAATTTAAACAATCAGCTCTCTGGGGCTCCTTTCTGTCTCCAGGCCTGCCCATGAGCTGCTCCTCAGAATTCCTCTCATTCTGCTCTTCACTGAGCTACTTATTGCCCCCGCCCCCCCAGCTCACTTCAGATGCTGTCTCTCTCAAGCTGAGCCTGCCTTGCCCCTCTAAACCGTATCTGTCTCACAAAGCAGTTTTAAGTTCTTTTGTCCATTTCTGCCTCATTATTTCATATCCCTAGTGCCCTGGATAAAGACAATAAAATGTGTTGAATGAGGCCAGAGCTTTTTGGGTTTTTTTGATCTTAAGAGTCCTGGGGGGCCAGGCACAATGACTCACACCTGCAATCCTGGCACTCTGGGAGGCCGAGATGGGGGAAGGAGAGGGGTGGGGAGGGGGGGCATGTTCACTTGAGCTCAGGAGTTCAAGCAAGAGTGAGACCCCCATCTCTATTAAAAACTGAAAAATTAAATTAGCTGGGCATGGTGGTGTGCACCTGTATACCCAGTTATATGAGGCTTAGGCAAGAGGATCCCTTGACGCCAGGAGTTTGAGGCTGCAACAAGCTATGATGATACCACTGCACTATAGCCAGCACAACAGAGGAGACTCTGTCTCAAAATGGAAAAAAAAAAGTTATGGGCTCAGTACTTGTAGCTCAGTGGCTAGGG